TGAAAGTTTTGATAGTTGAACGGTTTATGTAGCACAAAGTATGCAGTAGTAGTTAACAACCGAAAGAAAGTAAAAGGAGGATGTCGAGTATAACATCAGTGTAACTGTCATCTCCCTCTATGATTCTGGGCCTTATAGTAGGCTATTTTACACTTTTGAGCAATACAGAAAATGTGACCTGTTTTCACTGATTCCTATGACCATATAGACTGTGATGGAAAGCATCATGTCTGTTTGTGTGTGTGTGTGTGTATGTGTGTGTGGTGTGTGTATGTGTGTATGTGTATATATCTCCAGTTTGTGTGTGTGTGTGTGTGTGTGTGTGTGTGTGTGTGTGTGTGTGTGTGTGTGTGTGTGTAAGAGAGAGAGTGGCTGTTGAAGACACAGAGCTCATACAAAGGGTGACAAGGGTCAGCGAACCTCTCAAACTCCTGCCATTTAATACAAAACGGTACATCAGCAAAATGACCCTAACCCTCCTGAATTTGTATTGAAATCTATTGGAGAGTTTGGGGGTGCTCGCAGGGTCAAATTTCAAATTCTGTCAGTATACTAAGGTTGACAATTTCTATGAAACAGGGGCAAACTTTTTACTAATGAGGAAGAAATTATTTGTGAAGACCGAAATATGTGGCCATGAGGACGAGTTAAACAAAATCTTTTCAGAGGACTTCTAGAGCTTCTCCTACTCTGGCGATGATATCATCCACTTTAGCCTCAAACATTCCGTGCAATACACACCCATTATAAACTCAAAAATGATCAGAAAAAAGCTTGAAACTAAACCTGTGGTAATTCAAAAATGTGAATACAAGCTTAATAGCTGAAAGGCTTGTCTACAGTTTAAAGGTTGAATGAAGTCTGTAGCTGAAAGTATGCTGACATAGTTCAAGTTTAAAGAAGCTGAAGATTTCAAGGATTTGAACATGGTCTCTATTCATTTGAAAGGCAAACAAAAATTCATAAGATTAATATTTCAAAAATTATAAATAATATCAAAAAGTTGAATACATCCAATAATCTACAGAAAAAGTTGAACATTTTGATAGTTAAACAGTTTAAAGGAGTAGTTAGAGACCGTAAAAAGGCGGAATAATAATAATGATAAAGATTTGAATAACAAACAAACATTATTTTTGACCTGAAAACAACATATAGTGGTAGTTATTGTTGGTGGGATTGCTTCATTCAGCATCCCACCAATAATAATAAAATATAAAGATTTGAAGAACAATAGTGTGAATGCCTCAGCATTCCCACTAATAAGTATGCAGAATAATAATAAATGCCTTAAATGCTATTGCATTACAGGCACATAATTAGTCCACTTCCTTTGGCTGAGGTGTTCTACAGCCTGATGGCAGTGGGAACAAAGGATCCCCTGAACCTCTCTGTGCTGCAGCGCAGTGCTGCAGCGGTAGCTGCTTCTCTGTCCTGCCAGAATATTGTGGAGAGAGTGGTTGGTATTGTCTAAAATGGCCTCCATCTTACATTGCATGTGTCTCTCCACAACAGGAGAGAGGACTGTTGTCCTGAGTGAGTCCAGACTCCTGCCAAGCACAGACCCAGCCTTTTTGACCAACTTAACTGTCTAAATTAATCCTAAATTCAGTGTGGCAGAGGGGGAGGGGAGAGTTACACTGATTCTTTGTGTGTTCACACTAGTGTGAAGTAGCTGTACTCATATACGTTATTCCCACATATCACATTAAAGGATGAATGTGTGAGCATACAGTATTTTAGGGCACAAATCTGTGTGTGTGTGTGTGTGTGTGTGTGTGTGTGTGTGTGTGTGTGTGTGTGTGTGTGTTTGTGTGTGTCTAGTGGAGAAGATGTAGTGGCAGACTTCAGGGTCTCTCTAGTCAAGGGGAAACATTTAACAGGCTGTGTGGCGTAACTAACAGACAGACAGACACACACACACACACACACACACACACACACACACACACACACACACACACACACACACACACACACACACACATCTCCAGAAGTATAGACAGACACTCATACCTATAGATCACTCTGGAATCCCTCATGTTCAATAGCTTCTCCCCCTCCTCCCATTCGTCTTCTTCTCCTCTCCCTCCTCTGCCCTTTCAGGCATTCATTACATAGTCTTCAAATGATGAAGCTGGAGGGAATATGGAGGTTTGTGGCCTGTTTGTGTGCTCTGAGGTGAACAGTGGAGACCTCAGAGCTTCTGTTTTACTGATAACAGACAGGGGACACAGCTGGGTCTCTGTGTCTGTCTGTGTCTGTTCCTGTCTTTGTCTCTCTGTCTGTTTCTTTGTCAGTGTCTGTCTGTCTGTCTGTCTGTCTGTCTGTCTGTCTGTCTGTCTGTCTGTCTGTCTGTCTGTCAGTGTCTCTCTGTCAGTGTCTATATCTGTGTGTGTCTGTCTGTGTCTGTCTCTTTGTCTCTGTCTGTCAACAGCTCAAAGCCAGAACCAGCGCCCACAGGTCCCCACACACCGGTGTCCCTCCTGAAACCATAGAGCACAGCTGGAGCATGCGTTGGAAAATTACAGTTATCCTTAACCTCCAATGACCCTCCCCACAGCAGGAATTACACCCTCAGGTCACCCCATAAATGCAGGCTAACCAAACAGACCAGTCTTAGAAATCTTTGGACCTCCACAGGACCGCCATCCATCAGCCATCATACTGATTTTTCCACCCCCCACTGAGCACATCTCTGGAAAACCTTTATATGTCAGTACATACATTGCTTACATAAGTAGCAGTGTGTTGGGGAATGTTAAACTGCTCTAACACAGCCAGCTCACAAAGAAAAAATTATCAACTTTAGCAGCTGAGCACCAATGGTGAAAATGGGAGGACAAATCACAGACAAACTCCATATTTGTTCGCTTATCACCCTTCACCAAATGCCTCAGGGACCAACTCATATGCTTTAAACACAGCTGACTTCACCGTCCCATAATCCAAATCCTCCTCAGCACATATAATTGTATAAGCCTCTTGGTCCCAGCAAGGACCCACTGACGCAGGATGTACGCCTCTCTGCATCCGGCCAATTTTTTTGCATCATCTACACGATCAAAGAGAGTGAAAAAAGTATTGGGGTCTCTCTCAACAGAATGGACCTGCCCAGAGAAATTTCTTGGATTAACCTCAGTTTGGACAGTTGAACTCCAATCTCATTCTGGCTCATTGGCAGCCGCAAACAAAGATGAGACAAAACCACTTTTCTAAAATCCTCTTCATGATTTATCTCTTCCATGATAATGGTCAGCTATTTGCACTAGCTGCTACTTTTTTACAAACATTTACATTTATGACTCAGTTGATTAATGACTGATGGGTGTGTCTTATTACAGCACATCTAAATTTCACCTTCCAAACTATGAAAATTCAAAAAAGTCATGTGTCCTTTTTCAGCACATCCACAGATGTAACAATGTTTGTCTCACTGTAACATATGTCCAATTCAGAAGTCTGTGACTTTATAGTTTTCAAAATATGCAAAATCAATCAACGTCTAGCTCCATAAGTCTTCATTTAAATGCTACCAAAACTGACACAGACATTCTTTGGATAGTAGATATCACATGTTTCAAACACTGCTCAGATCTGTCAAACGATGAGTCCACAGTCAGTGTCTGACTGTATTTACTACTGTATGCACATCATTTTCTATTTCACTAAATGTTTGATCAAACTTCAAATATAGAACACCAGACTCCTTTCATACACAATTAATCTTTCTCCCTTCACTGCTAAACAGTTCGCCAAAACAATGACATGTTCGTGAACTTATGATTTTGTCTGGATTTGTGTGCTCCGTCTCGTGTAGTCAGTCTTTGCTCTCATGGTTCACCTTTATCTTCCTGTGAAATACACCTTCCCATAGCTGATCTGAAGTCAGATCTGTGGAGTCACCTAAAACTACAGCCTGATGAAGAGATGAGACTAAAAAATTTACATAGGTTGGAAAACAGCATGATGTTTCCATTGAGAGGCCTGCAGATTGTGGCAGGGATGTTTTAAGAAGGAAAAACTGGCTTTGCTATGTTGAATTTTTCATCTTTCTTTCTCATTCACAGCCTTTCCATTGGCTGTATGAAACATTTCAACCAGGACGGACTGTCTGTTAAGGTGTATACAGACAGAAACAAGACTTTTTTTCACCATCTATCATTTGTGGAGGATTAGACTATTTTATAGGCCCCAGACAGCCAGTGTACTAACTGTACAGACTGTTGCTCCAACAGATCATCAAGAAAGATGTCTTTACTGGATCTCTATTGCCCCTCTAAAGAGGAAGAGGTTAACTCCATGGTTCAACTCCCATTATTCCTACAGCTCTCAGTAGTAACGCCCTCATGAGCTTCTTTAATAGTAAAAGTCAAGTCAAGTGTCTTTATTGTCATTGCATAAAACACCAAAATTATGTGTGGAGCTTCCCCCTGAGTCATGTAGTGCAGAATATAAGGAAAAATAGAATACAACAGTTACTGGGAATAAAATAAATACTAGACAGAAGGAATGTGGTCAGGGGAGGGAGGGGGGTTTGTTTAGCAGCTTGGAGGAAAAACAGTTCACCATTATAGTAGTCTCTGGTTTAAACCCAATCTTGTTTGGAAAAAAAGTCTCTAAATCTAGAGACAAATCCTCTAAGTTGTAACCCTGCCAACCCCCCAACAGAAACTGTTTGTGCCAGTTCATTTCAAAAAAGCAATGGCCAATGAGAAAACTCCAACTCAGTCTTGTGGCATTCAGTTGACCAGTGGTGGAACTATGATCAGTCAGTCAGTCAGTCAGTCAGGGACATTTTCAATTATAGCTGCAACTAATGATTATTTTTAAATTCATTTACATAACTGAATATTTGATCTTTTAGTTCATTGTTTTTCAATTCTTGCTTCAGAAATTATTTAAATGATGAACTGATTAATCAGCTGCTATTTTTTAGTAGCAAATGAGATGCGAATATGGAAGTCTAAATCCTCTCTGTCTGTCCACTGTGTCCTCAGGAGCTGGCCGACCTTCGCCACATTCACGCTAAGCTGAAGAAGCAGTTCCAGGAGAAGACGGCGGAGCTCGCCCACGCCAACCGGAGAGTGGAAAGTCACGAGGCTGAAGTCAAGAAGCTACGGCTGAGGGTGGAGGAGCTGAAAAAAGAGTTGGGACAAGCCGAGGATGAGGTAGGAACATGGCTGCATATGTGTTTTTGGACTTATAGTAAAAAATGCATCATAGTCAGAGATGCTTTTGTCACAACTCTGTGAACATTCTGACACACCATTGTTTTTTGTAGAGATTCAGAAAATCTGATTCAACATATAAAAAAATAAAACCGAACATTGGTTCACTCAGCCTGGAATGCCTAAACACTCGTTTATAAACTTCAGCATTTAAAAGAAAATAATGTCAAAGTGCAATAGCTGTCAGCATAAAAATAAATAGGTTGTTGTCATACAAGCACAAGATTTTATTGTTGTTTGTACAGACTTTCTACAGACTGTTCCACAGTCTGACTGGCCTTCAGGAGCACTAGGAGGATTCCTGCTGGGCTGCCACAAAGATCAGTCAGTCAATGAATCTATAAAGTTTTCACCTGGCCCTCTCTGTGTGTCTGTCAATCATTCATTGAGACGTGGGATAAACTCCTGGTGCCTGTCATATACTCTGCATGCCATTTAATTTAATATATTCAACAATGTAATGATGCTATTTTAAAAATTTTTTTTAGCATTTTTGCCTTTTTTATTGTAATAGCACAGTGAAAGAGAGACAGGAAAGTCAGGGAGAGAGAGAGGGGAGGACATGCAGCAAAAGGCCACGAGTTGGACTCCAACCCATGGCCGCTGAGGTTAGGATTAAGCCTATGTGGTATACGCTCTACCAGGTGAGTCACGGAGGTGCCCCACAATGATGCTATTTCGTTGGCACAACGGTGGTGTGAACCAAAGGCTTAGGAGCCCTAAGCCTTTGGTTGTTACAGGCAGTCACCCAGTCGTCCTGGCTTTCCAGCTGCTTGGGAACTGCTGGAAAGAGGAGGAGCACCTCCAGTTCACTAAGCCTCGCCTGCATTTCGGCAAATAAACTTTCATTACATTATTATATTACATTATATTATTGCTAAAGGAGGCAGAGGAATAACTAAACATATGACACACTGAGCAGAGACAGCAGGAGAGGGGGAGCGAGAGAGAAGTCATTGGTAACTGCTAAAGAAACTAGCAGATCTGAATAACATGTAAACAACAGAAACACCAGCAACTGGAAATGAGACAATACTCTTACTGCAGCACAACAATAAAAGCATTGTGTAAAACATGCAATGCAATAACTTTAACATGACAGACATGAGTAACTGAAAACGAGGCTTCGTACTAACCGCTCTGACCAACTCTACATATCAAACAGAGCGAGTTAGACATAAAGACCTGATCACTCAATCAGTCATCCACATTCATGGATGTAGTTCTTGCCTGTGGCCTGTCAATGCTGTGTCTTGCAAATCTCAAATATAAGTGTGTGTGTGTGTGTGTGTGTGTGTGTGTGTGTGTGTGTGTGTGTGTGTGTGTGTGTGTGTGTGTGTGTGTGTGCATGTCTAGTTGGATGAGTCTCATAACCAGAGCAGGAAACTGCAGCGATCTCTGGATGAGCAGGTGGAGCAGACTGAGAACCTGCAGGTACAATTGGAACACTTACAATCAAGGTAAGACACAGACACACACACACACACACACACACACACACACACACACACACACACACACACACACGCACAGAGAAGCTCTCTTGAATTTATACATGGTGATATAAACCTGCATGAACACACAAACTGGTGCCAGTCCAGGACTTTGAACAGAAGAGATCTCAGGTGGATGTTCTGAAGAGCTTCTCAGCGGCAGCAGAGAAGATGCGTGTCTGTTTAGAAAGTGTTCTATTCACTTTTTTCACATTTTGTTGAGGTTGCAGTTACATCTCAAAGATGATCAAGAGAAGTGTCATAATAATGTGTCTGAATGCTTTTGTCAATAATGACATTTCAGTTTTTCCTTTTTCGTAAATTTCCCCCCAAAAAACGTTTTCACTTTGTCACTATGGGATATTATTGAGTGTAGACTGAGTAGGGAAAAAATGAACTTAAATGATTTTAGCTTGAGGCTGAAACATCACATATCTGAGTACTCTGAATGCACTGTACATTCTGACAGGATGTCAGTGACTACTATAGAACAATCACATTTGATGTCATTTCCTGTATTACACCCCTGCTGGACATAGTAGGATGGAGGTTAAAGCACACTTGGCAATGAAAATGTCATGTGATCCACACATCTCTGCATGTACACCTGGTGTTAAAATGCATTTGCGTCATTTCAGTTATGCCCTCACTGTGATTGGATCTCAGAAAGCAGTATGAAAATTAACTTGCAAGACTTGCTAGCTAACATTACTGCTGCTACCTGCAGCTTTAGATGGGTTGATTGGAAGAGGTGGAGTTGAGGTGTGGTCCAGATATGGTGTGGCTGATGTATTCTATGTGCATTTACCCCTGCATTAGCATTGGCTTTTATCAGATACAGGTAACATTTTAATACCAGGTGTAAATCAAGTATTGAAGTCAAAGTTATTTTGGTGGCCCTACCAGCTCACACCTGAAATACTTGTATATTTAAATGCAGTTTGAACCAGTCTAAGATTTCACAAGTCAAACACACAGCACAAAACCTTCTACACTAACGTATCCTGTTGTTAAGATCCAAAGATACTGGAATATCTCATAAAGAAGTTTATACCAAAGTATAATCTCTGTATTCAGCTTGTGTGTGTGTGTGTGTGTGTGTGTGTGTGTGTGTGTGTATTGTTTGACACTTATTTTCGCTCTCACACTCTTTCAGCTTTGCACAGTCCTCTGCCCCTTGCTCTCTGCCTCTCCCTATGCATTCTCTCCATTTTCTCCACATCGCTGCTCTGGCGTCTGGCAGCCAATCGCCAAGCTCCCAGTCGCAGGTCACCATAGTAACAGAGAGCTCTGTCGTTGCTCGGCTCTGTGGGGGAGTGACAGGCGTGTCGGCATGGTAACAACTCCAGAGACTGACACAAATCTGTGTGTGTTCTTGTAGAGGGTGTAGATTTAGCTTTTCTTTAATTCTGGATTTTTTTTCGCGACTGTGTGTGTGTGTGTGTGTGTGTGTGTGTGTGTGTGTGTGTGTGTGTGTGTGTGTGTGTCGAGGGGGGCCTGGTTTTAAGTTTTAGGGCTCAGGTTAGAACTAGGTTTAGGTTTAAGTTAGGGTCAAGATCAGGTTTGGGGTCAGGATCAGGTTTGAGGTCAGGCATTTAGTTGAGATGGTTGAGGTTAGGTTGGGGTTAAAGCGTAGGGTAAGGGTCTAGGGAATGCATTATATCAATGAGTGTCCTCACAGAGACAGAAGTACGTGTCTGTAGGGTTGGTGAAGTTTGAGCATTTGAAAGATGTGGCTGTTTACCAAACAAGGGGGTCAAAAGGAAAGTTTGAGTTTCATTCGGGACTCCCCAACCTAAAGGAAGTGTTATGCTAAATTGTTTGAGTACAACACAAGGCTCACACTAGCTTTTCTTAGGGCTTCTGACTACATCACATAGTCTTCTTCAGCACAGTTTGAAGGTAAGCTGGCTAACTCAGTTAAAAGGTTTGTTAGCTTGGTTGCTAACTGGAAGTTCACACAGTTTATTCAAGAGATGTATTTGTAACATCAACTGTCTGATAACTGTGTAAAAGTAATGCAGTTAATTTAAGTATTTATTTATGTATATTGTATACTGTATATTGTATATTATAGACTGTATTATATACTGAAACCATGGTCTTGGTCTCTTATGTGAACAGTCTGAATTTTTGTATCTTCCAAGAAGCCAGATGTCCAGCAACCATATCTAAATCAATATTAAATAAATACATAAATAATAATACATAAATAAATAAATACAGCTATGAAATAAATCCTGAAATAAATAAATGAGGTTATAAATGTAGAAATATATAAATACATGTACATAAATATACAAGTGAGTCAATAAATAAATAAATATAAATGAATAAATAAAGGAATAAAATTACATTATTATTTATGTTGACAGTATCACAGAAGCTTTCAATGAGCTTGATCAATGTGTGATTCAGTTCTGCTGTGTTGCTGTTGCTTTGGTCTGAATCTTTGAGATAACCACACCTCCTCATTTGAATATAACAGATGGAAAAAATAAAAGTACCCTGAAATATAAAAATTTTATTTCTAAAATAAAAATAATATTTATTAATTGACTCACTTCTATATTTATAGAATATTATATATTTTCATCTATTTATATATTTCTACATTTATTACATAATTGATTTATGTCAGGATTTATGTCATACCTGTATTTATTTATATATTTAAATTTCATTTAGATGGCATTCCATAGCGATTGTCTATGTGTGCGGAGGTGAGACAGTGTGATACATGATTTTCCCTGTGAGATGGTTAAGTTCATGTGAATCAGTTCTTGGTCAGCTTGACACCTTTTTCACGCACTGCTTTAGAGCTGAGGGGTGTAATGACAGTGTGTTCAGACAGTGAGGAATCAAAGAGGAGGATTTAAATTCACTTCACCTGAAGCCTTGGTGCCTCAAACCATCCGAGTACCCTAACATTTAGTCAGATAAGTTTCATAATAGACCTGGCTTCAGTCAATAGTCAATTTAAATCAATTGGACGTGAACACAGCTCAGAGTGAAATGAGATTTCACTTGTTGAAATCAGCTCTTCTCTGGTGTTTTCACTTTTCCTCATAAATGAATTTGTTATCACTGATGTCAGTGGTTTCAGCTGTAGTCAGGTAGTATACTTGACTGATGCTGAACAGGATCCAGTACTGATCTGTGCACGTCTTGATTGTATCTGCACCAGTCAATTCACCTCATTGATGAGATACTGAGGACAGAATCTGTTACACAATGAGTCTGAGTTTCCAGCAGATGTTTGCAACTGGTAAAATTCATGAATACAATATTTTAAAGCTGCTGTTTGTTGCTCAATTTGGTGCATGTGAAATATACAAAATATTAATGGTCCCCAGAGGAGGAGTTCTGATGACTGTGATGATCCCCTGACTTTTTATATGGTCAACAGCAGGTGAACATTTTCACTTCAAGTGAGATATCTTCACATTTATCAGGTGATCCCATAACTTTTCATCCATCACCATCAACAGGGCAGACATACCTACAATACTAATGTCATTCCCACCAGCCTCAGCTGTTCCTTATCTGTAGCGCTGATTAACAGACATTAGCATGCTAACACGCAAAACTAGGATGGTGACCACAGTGAACATGCCAGCTAAATATCAGCATGCTAGCGTTATCATTTGGTGCAACTTAGCACAAAGCACCACTGTGCCAGTGTACCTGTCCTCACAGCTTCTGACATGGCATTCATTACAACACCAAGTGGGTACCTCCATAACCTTTCTCTTGCTGTTTGTGTGTGTGTAACTGTGTATCTCACTAACATACATTTATACCCCCATCCGCCCTCTCTCTCCCAGACTGCGACGACAGCAGCAGAGTCCTGGTCTGTTTGGGAAGATGCGGTCGACCCGGTTCAGTCCTGAAAACCCAGATGGTCCAACCAGCGACATGGATGAGGAGGAGGAGGAACTGCAGCTCCAGATCCCATGACACACACACACACACACACACACACACACACACACACACACACACACACACACAAGCAGCCTCTGAGCACTTGTAAACATTGTTTTTTGATATAGGAGGTGATAGAAGGTGAATGTTTTTGCTCTGGAGGAAAAACATTGTTTTGTTTTGTCTTCTGTTCAACCAACACCAATCCAATCCAAACCAATCTAAAATTTTAGGACAAATTATAACTAATTAATGACCATGTTAATGATCAATAATCAGTGTATCGTTAAAAAAAAACAAAAAAAAAAACAAAGAAAGCTTCATCAAATAAAAGCTTATGTATTATTTTCAGGTGACAAAGTTTTGACCCAGCAGCAATATAATGAGCACACACCTTCACACAGAACACACACAGACATTCCCATGCTCTCACACATAGATAGACATAGATATTTGCATATTCAGACACACAAAAAATAGGACGACGTTGACGTTAACAATGAACAAACTTCCACCAAACCACAGGAACAGAGGCTGACACACATCATCCTATCAGTGTACTCACTCATTCTTACCTCATATACATCACAAACATCACAGCTTTTTGATCTGAACTGTGCTACTGTATTCACAGAAGGCTCTGCCCCTCAGCTCAATCACCAGTATTAATACTTGAAACATGGCTGACAGCTGTGAGGAAAGGGACTGTTATGTCCCGCTCAGCTCCAAAGTGTTTTTATCACTTTAGGAACTAATGTGAGTAAAACAGTCGGCCACGTTTTAACCAGTATTTGTAATTTGTAATGTGAGTATTTTCCTCTTGAATACCGAAGATTCAAAGTCCTTTTCTGATGCATTTAAAGTTCACTACCATCACTGGGAGCACATTTTACAGCAACCAGCCTCATTACACCACAATGTGTGTAGAACAGGAATTTCCTGTAACTCACCCATCACACTCCGCTTCACTTTGCTCCATAGTAGAGCTGAATAATTAATCAAAATATTATTGAAATCTCAATATGGCCAAGAACAAAATCCAAATCACAGCAGCTGCAATTTTTTAAAAATTTGTCTAAAATGTATCACAACAGACCATGAATCTGGTGCTACAGAGACGCCAATATTCTCCACATGTAAGGAACATGTTTGTTTGGTACAAGACCCAACAAAAATGACATCATCATTGAAATCATATATATCTGTCAAAATAATTGCCATATGATTTTTTTCATGTCAGCACCATAGCAAGTCCATAGCAAGTATGGTTAATACCGCATCATGGGTACTTAGGGGTGTGTTCAGATGGCAAATGGACAGAGATAAACTTTATGCAGAACTACAGTTCTAACTGAGACCCAGACCCACCAAATTTCAGACCTGAACCCAACTCAAGACTGAGGCTGTATTTGTGTTATATAACAGCATATGCTTTATAGGCTTTCACATAAAAAGTAACTAATCTGACAATAATAAACCAACACACAACATGGCATGGCACCAAACAGACAGACCGGAGACAAATTAAAGACCAAACAACATGAAGTGTCTCAGTCTCCAAGTCTCTGAACACAACTGGAGGATGAACCATTCTTCATAAACATATTTCCTCATGTTTTGATGATGATGGTGGAAAGCGCCGTCTAACAAGCATTCCAACATCTCACACAGTTCACTCAGTTCTGGACTGAGATCAGGTGACTGAAGGTCATAGCATATGATTTAAATCATCTTCATTAGGGATGCCACGATCCAATTTTTGTGCGATCAGTGGCCGATCAATCGGGCATCCCTAATTCTCATCCTCATCATACCCTCAATGACCCCTGTGACGTCTGTGGATGGAGACACTGTCATCCTGTTTCTACACTCATTCTTAGCTGTTTCCTTTAATGTGTCACTGTGTCTGTTTATAACTTCTACTAATGAATAAGTTGTAAAGTGATTAAATGTCGCACTCTTGTCTGAAGATGACATCAGAATTCTGTCTACATTTGTGCTTCCTTCATGTACTGTAGTGTTTGAGGGAAATGTAAACTAGATAAAAAAGGCTTGTAACTCTTGAGTCTGATCACTTCATAATGTAGTGTGTTCCCAGCATGCCTGTGTCTCTGTCTGGTCCAGGTCTGAACAGGGACTGAACTAAAACCTGAATATTCATAAGCCAAAATCCAGCAATGTTGTGCTAAAAGAGGAAGAGATTTAAACTTGAATGTCGTTCCTTGATGCATTGAAGGTTTAAATTGTATAGTCATTATAGCTTGAATGGTGATCCAATACAGTTGAATTGGAAGCTTCCTTTTCTGCCTACCACAGGGTCAACAGGGTCTACATCCAGAACTAAACCACATAGACCAGTACTCCAAACAGCAGGGGCTGGAAATACATCCAAAGTTTAGTTGTTCTGTTCTGTTTGGATGTGTTATGTGCAGATATGATTTTATGCAGTGTTTATGCTGATATTCAGTATTTTACAGTATTGTAATTTTCACTCCCTCAGATCCACAGTGTGTACTGTATGTCCAGTAATTCCCTCAGGGGAATTACTTCAGTCAGGGGGAAGAACCTCTAAAGCAGCATTTAGACCATAATGAGATAATGAAACTGTCACTAAAGCCCAGGCCAGTAAAACTCTGCAGGTTTAATACTCCCAGGCTCCCTCAGGACGACCCATGTATTCAACAGGAGGGGGGGGGGTTTGGATACGCTGTGTGTTGGACTGAAGAGTTCATTTATTTGTGCAGAGCTGGGCCTCCAGTCTAACAGTGGACAGATGTGAAAGCAATAGAACATCCTTAAATTCTCCACCTCCATCAGCAGACACTCTGCCATGGCCTTCACCCTGACGCTGGAAGGGGACCAAGATATTTTTACTGATCAGAATTCTGAACTATTTATGTTGTTGTTGTTATGGTTTAGTTTTATAAATGAACTTTACCACAGTGGTTTTGTATTAGTGATATAAATGTCAACTGTACATATAAAGAAACATAAGTCCCTGTGTCTTTTTTCTCTTTATTGTGTATGTGCATGTATCATCTGTAGAGCATTTTTCACAAAGTTTTTCTCCTGAAGAAAAACAATACATTCTCCTGAATGGACAGTGATTTTTCACAGACTCTTTTGAATATGATCCCAAGATAATGTTCATAGGTTAAACAAATTACAATACAACATTTTTCCAGTTCAGTTATTTAAGATGAAAAAATGGCCAAATAGCCAGTCCTGTCTGGCATCAGTCACAAGCCATAAAAGATGTTCATTGTAAGGACATGCAGAATTATGGACCCAAACTTGACACTTTGTTACTGTTCCCACTATCAAACTATCAAATTGATAGGAAACAAGAGACAAAGGACTCTTCTCTCACAAACAGACCATGCTATTAGCATGTCAGAGAGACACTCAACCAGACCAAGGGTCAAAGGGTCAGCTCCAGAGGATCAATGACAGCACACCAGGCAAACTGGAAAGCATAGGCAAAAACTCCAGTTTGTAACAATAAGACCCTGCATATTGATATTCCATTGTTTCTTATATAGGAAAAGTAACACAAATGACTGATTGTCACTAAGGTGTGAATCCTGCACTGTACCATGTATGAATAGAAACACATACACACACACACACACGCCAACCTCCCTTCCTCTGTCCCTCTCTAGATAAGAGTCATAAACTACAACACACATTCCAATCCTGAGAAGTGACCTGCAGAACAGTCATCACAGACACAGATCTGAGGAAGAATATAAAATTAAATATCTAACTGTTCTGTAACTCATGAGATGTTTCTATGTAATAGGTCAATCCCAAACTTCTAGCCTATCGAATGGTTGAAATGTAACATGTAGACTTTACGACAATTTCTTTTATGTGACCACACTGTCAGCATCCTTCACACAAGGTAACATACACAACATGACATCCAGAATGTCAATATTACTACTATTACAGTCGAACAACTACTGTGTAATCCACATTTAATTACTATTAGCTTTAGGGAATGTTTAGTATGTTGTTTGATGAGTTAACCACTAGTATTATGATTAATTTCAGGTTTTGAAGGATGTAATATGAAATCCACACTTGTATTATTCCTGTCTGTAATTATTAGTGCCATTAGGTTTATATGTTGTTTCATTTAAGGTTTTATGGTCATGGTGTAAGACGAATGTGCGAGTTTATACGTAAACTTGCCTAATGTGCAATCTTATATTTTCTATTTTCTTCTATTTCACCACCCGGCCAGTTGCTTTTCCAGGACGTAGCCTCTTGAGCTCCACCCTCACCTCCTCCGCTGTAAAGGACATCATCCACTCCAAAATCTAAAATAGTTGACCTCCTGAAAGGCTGGGTTTGTGCTTGGCAGGAGTCTGGACTCACTCAGGACTGTTGTGGAGAGACACATGCAATGTAAGATTGGGGCCATCTTGGATAATACCAACCATCCTCTCTGGCTTGTCTGGCAAGACAGAGAAGCAACTACAGGTGCAGAAAACGTCTCATCTCACTGCGCTGCAGAAAAGAGAGGTTCAGGAGATCCTTTGTTCCCACTGCCATCAGGCTATACAACACATCAGCCAAAGGAAGTGGACTAATCTAATTATTATTGTTCATTTGTTATTAACTGTTTTAATTATTATAAGTATTATAATTATTATTACTATCATTATCATTATCAACAATAAGCTAATGGACACATGAATTTCCCCTAGGGGATAAATAAAGTATGTATCTATCTATCTATCTACAAGTGACTATAAAACGGTAAAGTTCCAGCTCTGACTCTCAATCAGCCACAGGTCACAATAAACATGCACAATAAGGACTAAAAGACTTCTCTTTAAACTACAGCAATGCTTATTTAATCTCCACAGTAATCAACAAAGTTAACCAAAGTTAACCATTAACGAACCTTGATTGATTGATTAATTACACTATTCTACCAATCATCCAACTAACTAAGCATATAGAAGACAACAGCAATACAGGAAATGCATTCAGATTTTGTGTGTGTGTGTGGGGGGGAGACG